TGGGTTTTTTTTTTTTTTTTTTTTTTTTTCTCGATAAATTTTCCCTTCATTAGCCGTCATTGAATCATATTAACTTTAGTAAACAGAACATAATTAAGTGCGTGCTTGGATCTATGTCATCAATCCATATTTTCTATAGCAAATTCACATCAATTTGATGAAGAAACAAGTAATATTAACTTCTTATTCATATTTTGATATGTTTGATACAAAATCAAATAGACACTAAGTCAAATATTTTGAACATGAAATCAATTCTTACTAAAATGTCGCCTTTTTAAATAAAATATTTTGCGTAAATTGTAAATTCTTACAATGTAAATTAGATTCTCCTATATACAATTAAAATGTAAAATATAATTAATTATTTATACCTATGATTATTGATAAAAAGTTACTTCATTTTTTCTTATACTTCTCCAAATATTGAACAAAAAATAAACACCATATAATATTATCAATAGACTCAGTTTCAATGACAAACAGAGAGAATGAATATATAATTAGAAATAATATTAGAAAATAAAGTTTTATTGGTGAGTGTGAAAGATGAGATGTTAATATATATATATATATATATATATATATATATTTATTATATATATATATATATATATTAATTATGATGTCAAATTAATGAAATGAGATATTTAATAATTATTATTTTTTATGTTAGAATAAAGTTATATTATGAATATTCAAATAATTTTAAAATTGCATGCAATTTTATATATTTGATCTAATTAATAATATCATCAAATACAACAGTTGAATTTAAGTTTTATAAAAAATATTAAATGTATTATTTTACTAATTTGACAATATTGTGTCAATGGATTATGACTCATATATGTACACATGATGTTTTCTAACTTATATCCCACTTATTTTTTTTAGTTGAAGTAAGTTAGCAAATATTATACATGGGTGCATTTAAAAAATACATAATTATAATTTGTTAACTTACTCTTTCTAAAAGAAAAGTAGGTGTGTGTTAGCAAATTCTACATATATATATTTGCTAACTTACACCCATTTATTTTTTAATTGAAGTAAATTAGCAAGTTACACCTGGGTGCATTTAAAAAAATGTAGGTATAACTCTTTAATTTACTTCATTAAAAAAAAATAAGCGAGTATAAGTTAACAAACTCTCTCTCACACACACTGTTTAGATACAAACAAGTTTGAGATCGATAAAATAAGAGAAAAAAATTACAACTTATAAATCATACACATACTCCAAAGTTAAAGAGACATTTTGGGTGATGACCAAAAGCAAAACCGTGAGGGCTTAGGCCCGAAGTGGATAATATCTCATCATTGTGGAGTATGCTTGAGTAATAACCTTATAAAAATAATCCTCATAAAATATTTTCTCAGACAAATAACATAAAATAACTCTAACAGTGGTATCAGAGCCGCAAGGTTGGATGCGATAACTCCTCATAACTCATAACATATAATGTCATATATAAAGACATGTTCTATTGCATGAAAGGTTAGGTCTCTTGTTTGAGGGGAAGATTGTTGGGATACAAACAAGTCTCACATTGATAAAATAAGAGAAAAATAATAACTTAAAAGCACACGCATACTCCAATGTTATAGAGAGGCCTTTTAAATGATGTCTAAAAGCAAAATCGTGAGGCCTTAGGCCCAAAACGGATAATATTTTATCATTGTGGAGTATGTTTATTTTAATAACCTTATAAAAATAACTCTCATAAAATATTCTCTCAGACAAATACTATAAAATAACTACTTTATATTAAATTTAAACGATCCAACCATTAAATTAAAAATTTTTAATGAATAAAAAATTACTAATCTTTTTAAAATTTAAAAATTATTTGATACTTTGTTATATAAATTCATATTTAAATATAATATACTTTTATTAATTATTCATATAAATGGATCCTTATTTATTTATTATTATTATTATTAAAATTTTCAAGTTTCAACTTCATAGTTGTTACATTTATTAGAAAGACTAATAAATATATGAATATGATGTAATATTGAGTAATTATTTTTGTAAATGTAATAAATGTTATTAATTACTTTATTACATCATGAAACATATTTATTGGGTTTTTCTAATAAATGTAATAAATGGTTGTAAAAAAAAAAACAAATGACGTAATTAATATACATTTTGAAATTTGAAAATAAAGTACTTAGTTAAATTCAAAATTTAAAGAAATAATACCCGTTATGACCATCACACTTATGGAACATAACTATTAATAATGGAACTATCTTATACTGAAAGGTTTATATTTGAAATCATAGGATATATGCATACTATAACATGTATATAAATATTAGAAACTAAAAATAACTACAATTATATATATTATATGTACAATGATCTAGTATAAAAATAATATGAAATTCTAAGAGTTAGTCAAACACAACTATACAGACCCTCTAAAGGTAGTTGTCGACTACATCACCACTATATTCGCTCCAAGAGCCCATTTTGGCTAACCCTACCTTTCTCCCTCGAAAGTCATTATTATTGCAATCCACACTTCATGGAAAACACACAAGGGTAAACTAGATTTAAAAAACATACAAGTATAGAAAGGATTAACATCTATACTACTCTCCAACATGTAAACCAACCAAAACACTCTATATGATTTACAACATACAACAATCAACTTGTTTGAAAGCTAAGCACCTAAGCAATTTAAACATTCACCACAATCATACCATACAACAAGATATTCATCCAAAGAATATGAACAACAATCAACTCACACAACATCACATGCACACACCACAACTAATGCGTCATTATGCATCTACCTACAAAGATCTCTTGATACACACGAGCAGTCTAAGTGGCTTGACTTTACTAAACTAACCTGATCATTTTCATGTCCAATACAACCGTTGGATCAATAATTAAAGTGGGGTACCAAATCCTACCTTTGATTTCTCGGATGTCACCACTTACACTAGGAAAGTTTGGTTCCACCATTAGGACTAATATAGTTGGGTATATACATACTATGACCTTGACATGCATTATCAAATCGCATATGGAGTTAGCCCACTAACTATCCATAAGGTACCACAACATTTCCAGTGATCAATTAAGGGTTATAGTCCTTAACTTCATACTTTACTCTACATTGACTAAGGACCAAGAGGAGATTTAACAAAATCCACTCCAAGAGTTTAACACATACTCAATGAGGGTTTTCAACAATTGGCATCCTAGAGTGCCAGAACAAGATTCCTTATTGGGATCTTCAACTTTTAAACAATACTCTCTTCTCTAGCCTTAAGCTAATCAACATGTTTTAATACCTACAACATTCTTAGCATCAGTACCCTAACATGCATCATCTATATATATTACCCCAGGTCAACGCATATAAAGATCAAACCACACCAATCATAATTAGCATATATACCAATGTTATACACATCATCAAAGACACTACAAGAAAAATGTAAATTACCGATAGATATAAATCTGTCAAAATATTTATATTTTGGACAAAAAAAAAAAATTCGTAAGAAAATTATATTATCGATGGATAATTTTTGATAGATACAAATTTGTCGAAAAATTTATAGTTTTGACAGATTTTACCGACGGATAATTTCTAACAGATACAAATCTGTCGAAAAATTTATATTTCTGATAGATTTTACCGACGAAAAAAAATTCATGGAAAAGTTATATTATCGACGGATTTATATTTGTTGAAAATGTAAGAATTTTTGACTAAAACTTTCAATAGATGCTTAAGTCAAAATTTTCTAACAGAATATAACTGACGGATAATGGTTTGTCAAAAATTTCATGGTTTTTGACAAGAGATTTTTGATGGAATATCTATCGAAAATGGTTAATATTCCGTCAAAAATTTGTTATGTCAAAAATGTTTAATATTTTATCAGAAATTTCATCCATTGGAATGTTTAATATTCCGTTCGATAAAAATAAAGATGAATTAGCAACTTGGGTTGTAATTATTTTATTATATTATTTTAGTATATATATATATATATATTCCAATAAATTGTTATATAAAATAGACTAGTAAATTATGTATGTATGTATGTATGTATAGAGAGAGAGAGGAGGAGGAGGAATCAAATGACTCACAAAGTAACTCTTGGTAAAGTTACTCCACTCAATAACTCATGGTGTATGTTGATGAATTTCATGGATCCAACTGTTAAATTAAAAGTTCTTAAAGTTTACTAATAATTTATATAAAGAAAAATTGATTAACTCTGGAATAAATTATTTGCTAAAAATATAGTTGAAAAATTAATTATTTTAAATTATTTAACTAGAATCTTATTGACAATTTACTATATGATCTAGATATTTTTG